TAAATGAGGATCAGAACATCCAGGCTACAGAGAAGCTTCTTCCCACAAGCCACCACTCTCTCGAACGGTTAAAATATTACACATGCACAAATATTCCAACTGCACTTCTTAAATATATTGGTTTATAGTATATATGGTATGTAGTAACATTCAACACATCCTCTGTAACTGCTGTCTCAGACCAGCGTTTTCTTCTAGCACCTCACTTACCTGCCTTATAACCACACTCACTTATCCCTTTTTTGCCAATATACATCCTTTAACCACTGCTGCTCTCAGCACCTTAATATAAGACATATACGTTGCACAATGCAAGGTTTACAGGTGTGTGTGTGCACACAGTCTTGAAGTCTTAACTTTGGTGGGGATCAGATAAAAGCCAGTGCAAAGATGCAAACCTTAGACTCCAAGCACAGCCAATATCCGAGGTTACGAATTGAACAATTGAACCAGGCCTCATGGTCTTCAGAAGCATGTGATTAGTAGCAATATCAGGCTTTGAACCAAACTCTGCTAGAGGACACCAATTCAAGACTAATCTTAGTCTGTACAGTAATTCCTTATTTTCATATGTACGTAAATTACATATTACTTTCATTGAACTTTTAAATAATGTCTTAAGATTAATAACTGTAAAAAGTCAGGATTGAAGAAGATAATATTAATGTTACACTGTCATGCTTTCTAAAAAAAAGCACCAGCATCATCCTAGTGCCAAAAAAACAGTCTACGGGTTTCATTTTTTAATTGGCCAACATGATTAACTCTGAAAATCGGAAGCTGGACTAGATCAGTGTAGTACACAGTTCTTCAACAGCAGCACTGGAGAGACACAAAGTTTAGTACTTTCTAATGTTCTTTATTCATCATTGTGCTTAATAATCCAGCCCTTCATTAGCTCTACCAAATGTTTTTGAGCAGGCAAAATACTAAACACTATTATTATGATATTGAAATATATTAAAACATTAAACTGCATGTCACTTTGCTAAAACCCTGGCCCTGGACCCTGCCCTTTGTTTGAGCATTTTGAGTACGAAATCTTTGAATTCTTTTGTGTTTAGAACATAAATGATGGGATTTAGCATGGGTGGAATGGCCAATGATAGTGATGTATTTATTATCCTAGCGTTGGGATGGAGAGTAAAAAACAGTGTAGCAATGTTGGTACCTATTGTTGGAAGGAAAAATACTCCTACTACTAACAGATGAGAAACACAAGTCTTCAGTGCTTTAAGTCGTCCTGCCCATGTTGTAATCCTAATTAATGCAAGGAAAACACCTAAATATGATACAGCTATGGCAATCACAGGTACATTGACGAATAGCACAGTACAAAGTTTTCCCATAACTGAATTTATGGTGTTATCATTACAAGCCATTGTATAAATTGGCCCATGGTCACAAAAATAGCTTTTTACCACATTTGATTTACAAAGAGAAAGTCGAGTGATTAAAGCAACTGTTGTGCCGACCAAGGCTGTGCAAAATGACCATGCTGTAAATAAAGCCAATGTCATGATGGAGTTATTTACAATGGCATGATATCTTAAGGGTAAGCAAATGGCAATAAAGCGATCATACGCCAAGACAACAAGAGTTAAAGCTTGTATGTTGCTGAAGAAAAACACAAAAAACATGTTTGCCAAACAAGCCTCATAGGATATGTACTGTGAATCAAAAAGAAAGGTCTTCATTAAGTTGGGAATCAGTGCATTTGTTTCACCAAAGTCTGCCAAAGCTAAATTAAAGATTGCTATGTATTTAGGAATGTGCAGACTTCGGTCAGTCAGTATGATAAAAATTACAAATGAGTTCCCAAACACAGCGATGATATAAGTAAAAAACAAAAAAATGAAGTAATATTTGGTGAAAGGTATTCCAGAAAATCCACTGATGTAAAAGTACTCAGGTCGCACAAATGACATGTTTTGCAATAAATCAGAGTTCAAGTTGCTCATAACTGCATTGATTCAGATCCTATTGCTCTTCTCTTCAACCTGGAATGAAATACACAAAAAAGGTAAGCAATACATAAAACGTGCACATAAGTAGTTCTTTTGTGTTGTTCAGCATAAAGTTATAATTTATTTATATATTAAGCAAATTAAAAATGTAATAACTGATTTGAAATGGTTCATTGTACCTTCTTAAAAATACATGCATATGCCAGCACACAGGATATTTCAAAAGTGCTAAAGGGTCAGAATGAAACTGCTTTTAACAGTGAAACTGTAAGCACTGAGGGGCTCAAATGAGTGCTTTATTTATAGAGATACACCAGACCATGTTTTCTCATGTGGAAATGTGGGAGGACATGCAATCCAGTGATGTGTTTTTTTTTGTTTTTTTTTAGGCACCCACATTGCTAGTGTTCAGTGGTTTTTCTTTCTTCAAATGTAAAACTCAAATAAGAAATGTGTATTGAACACTATACACCTTTATAAATATTAATATTATTTTCATAATGTGAAAAGTTTATTCATATATATATATATATATATATATATATATATATATATATATATATATATATATATATGTATGGAGACACTATATGGATAAAAGTATTGTCAAAAGACACCTACACATTACACCTATAGGAGTTTTTATGACATCCCAAAACCATAGGTATTAATATGGATTTGGCAGCTATAACCTTCCACTCTTCTGGTAAGCTTCCCAGAAGATTTTGGAATGTCTGTTGAAATTTTTGCCCATTCATCCAGAAGAGCACTGGTAAGGTCAGACACTGATGTGGACGAGAGGATCTGGCTCACAATCTTCATTCTAGTTCATCCCAAAGGTGTTAGATGGGGTTGAGGTCAAGGCTCTGTGAGGACCAGTCAAGTTCTTCCACACCAAACTCACCCAGCCATGCCTTTATGTACCTTGTAATGCGCACTGGGGCTCAGTCATGCTGGAACAAACAGTTCCCACAAAGTTGGAAAATACAATTGTCCAAAATTTTTTGTATGCTAAAGTATTAGGATTTCCCTTCACTGGAATTAAGGGGTCTAGGGCAAACCCTGAAAAACAACCCCATAGTATTATCCCTCCTCCACCAAATGAAGCTTGGCATTATGCATTTTCTTAGGCTTGTGTGTAGCTGCTCGGCCATGCACATCTCCTAATGCGCAGTTCTTTTGCTGATGTTGTTTTGGGAGGCAATTTGGAACTGTTTAGTGAGTGATTCAGCAGAGGATAGGCACTGTATGCTTCAGCACTCGAGTGCTTAATTTGATCCACCTGTTAGCAATGAGTGTGGCTAAAACACTAGAATTCAATGATAACGAGGGGTGTCCCAATACTTTTGTCCATATATATATATATATATATATTTTCTAAACACTAGCCTCAGAAAGATTTTAACAGTTCCTTGTTTGACAATCCAATCATACCCTCCTCATACCAACGTTATAAAATCAATGCTCTGAAACTGAAGGGCAAAATGAGATTATTATGGGCATGTGTAGGTCAACATAGGTCTTAGGCAGCAGCTGTAAGGGACCTTGTATCGAGGATCACAGAGAATGGATATTTTTTTTCCACAAACTGGGGCAACAGCCACTCAAAAACTTTAAAGTTAAATTTCAAGATATTTCTATGCCTCCAATGGGGATCACTTCAAGGATTTTAAATGGCCAGAACACAACATGAGACAAAATGTACCTAGTGAAAAAACGCTTGTGGTAGAGTGATGGGAGAAAGGGAAAATTGTGATTACTTCATTTCACAGTGCATTTTGAGTCCATTTCAATTAACTTCAACCTTATGAAATCTACATAAATGTGACCAATAAAAAAGCAAGTGTGTGGCCTGGTGGGCAACAAAAGAGGCATTGTTAGATACTAAGCTCAACATCATTACAATTCAAGCACTACTGGAGAAAAAAATACAATTTATTTTACTCATTCCTCTCAGAGGACTGAGAATTTTTAGCCCCATAATATATCCTATTTGAATACAGTAGTACACATAATTGATGAAAAAATCAAAATGCAGTAAACTCCAAACATTTGAATTAAATATTTATTTTAACATTCAACATTAATCAGATCATATAAGCACAACATAACATTGTGTGTTTTTGATTATTTGTTTGTTTATGGTTCATTATTACACCAGAGCTGTCTCTTTTCCCTCATTTAGCAGATACTCCTGTCCAGTTCTTTCCTTTCAAACTGGAAAAAAAAAAATATTATTTAGCAAGATGTGTAGCACAGCTACTGAACCGGTCTAGAATACAGACGCAGGTGCTTCAGGGAACTAAAATATGCTGTAAGTCTCTGAGCTTGGGATTTTGATCTAGAAGACATAGCTTCAGGAGAATAGCTTAAATGCATTAACCCCTTTAGATCTTAGCAAAGTGTTGGTGGGTCCGTACTACCATTCTTCACTGTCATAAACAACAACGTTTACATATTAATGTCACTGTAGAATAATATGATTTAATATTAATTTTAAGAAATTTCAATAATAATTTCAGAATTGTAAGAGGTCATTGTTGATTTGACAGAATATACACACACATATACACATCTTCTAAGCGGCTTATCTTTCTGGGTCATGGGGGGAGCTGGAGTCTATCCCAGCAGTCATTGGGTGGAAGGCAGGATACACCCTGGACAGGTCACCAGTCCATCGCAGGGCAGACAGACAGACATACACATTCACACACACACACACTCAATTTTTCCAGAATAGTGCTAAATAAAATCAACTGCATCATTCTAGCCTCAGAAACTAGTTTAGGTTTAGAATTTTATTGGCATAATTGATGCTGTATAGCATTAACTTATACAGTATAGTGCAGTTTTCTAGCTACAGTGCTGTAGAGACTTTTCTGCTTTCTTTATCAATTTATTTGGTTCTGTGGACAATTATTACGCAGTTCATTAGCTCAATCATATGTATTAAGTATGAAAAATACTGAACTGTACAGTGCTGTGGCTGTAACTAACACCAGAAGACGAGAGCACTGGTAAATTTGTTTGGTGTCACTTTGCTGAAGCCTGAACCATTACACTGGATCTCTTTTTGAGCATTTTCAGTACAAAGTCTTTGAATTCCTTTGTATTTAGAACATAAATGATGGGATTTAGCATGGGTGGAATGGCACTCGATAGTGAAGTACTGATTATCCTAGCATTGGGATGGAGAGAAAAAGTTACGGCAGCAATATATGTGCCTAAAAAGGGGAGGAAAAATATTCCTACTACTAATAGATGAGAGACACAAGTTTTCAGGGCTTTAAGCCGTCCTGCCCATGTTGTAATCCTACTTAATGCCAGCAAAATGCCTAAATACGATCCAACTATGGCAATCAAAGGTGCATAGACTAATAATGCAGTACAAAGTTTTGCCATAACTGAATTTATGGTGTTGTCATTACAAGCCATTGTATAAATTGGTCCATGATCACAAAAATAGCTTTTTACAATGTTAGTTTTACAAAAGGAAAGTCGAGTTATCAAAATCACCGTTGTGCCAATCAAAGCAGTGCTAAATGACCATACTGTGGATAAAGCCACTGACATGATGGAGTTACTCACAATGGCATGATATCTTAAGGGTAAGCAAATGGCGATAAAACGATCATACGCCAGGACAACAAGGGTTAAAGCTTGTACACTGCTGAAGAAAAAAACAAAAAACATGTTTGCCAAACAAGCCTCGTAGGATATGTACTGTGAATCAAAAAGAAAGGTCTTAATTAGGTTGGGAATCAGTGCATTTGTTTCCCCGAAGTCTGCCAAAGCTAAATTAAAGATTCCTATGTATTTAGGAACGTGTAGACTTCGGTCAGAACATATCATGAAAATTACAAATGAGTTCCCAAACACAGCAATGATATAGATAAAAATTAAACCAATAAAGTAATATTTGACAAAAGGTATTCCAGAAAATCCACTGATGTAGAAGTACTCAGGATGCACAAATGACATGTTTTGCAATAAACTAGAGTTCAAAGCACTCATGATGTCGTTGATTCTGATCCTTCTGCTCTTCTCTTCCACCTGAAATAAAGAAGACAACTAAGCAGTACATAAAAGCATGTAGACAATAATTGATTATTTTTACTGTAAAGCTTATTTTACCCTATTAATTTAAACCTATGCATATACATGTGTTAAAGGATAAGAATCATAAAATGCATTAAACTGCTGTTGGCTGTGGAACTGTAACCCTGAATTACAATGGACATGATGCTTTATACATACAGATGGACCATGTGACCATTCCTCATATGAGAGGTCATACAATGCAGAGGATTTTTTTGTTGTTGTTGTTCTCTTTGGTAACACGTGTGACTTCTCTTTTTTTCCACATAACAACCTAACATGAAGGTTTATGAGTAGACCACCCATAGCAGCTTTGTAAAATTCCATGTTCTGATAATGCTTTTATTTCTATGATTGAAGTCAAATGTGGATTTACCAGAAAAAGAAACACTATATAATAAGAAATGCTCCGCACAACATTCTTTTTTTTCTTGAATTATTTATTTATGTATTCATTTTGGCAATGTGACATGACTGAAGAACTTGTGGTCAATCCCTGCATTTTCCAGTTGCCCCCAAAATAAATAGTCATACTGTAATTCATGGAAAGTGTAATGTGTGCAAATATTCTGTCTTCAAGGATTCAAAATTCAAGATTTGTACAGCAGGTGCTTTGGAATGCTTATTTCTTCATCTACGTCCTATAACAGCAGAAATATACAACAACAAATGCAAATGATCAGCAGAGAATTGGCATTACAATATAATATTAGACATTAGACAAAATATTACAGCCAAGACAAGATCTTACAACAGTAATGGCCATGGGCTGCTGCCAATTGGGTTAATATGGTCTAGTGGGTTAATATGCCCTAATGGACTTTCAGAGTCAAATTGTTCCAACTATTTGGCCACAGTTCAGCTTGTCATGTTTGGAAGATGAGGGCTGCACTGTCATCCCAATAAAACCATACCCAAGTACAGAAGTGGTGACATCATTATATGGGGCCTTTTCCTCTGCAAATGGCTTTGCACATCATTGAAGAAAAGATGTATACACTGGGAGATATTAATGGAAAATTTAATCGCATTGGTCAAAAAACTTTGGGAAGATGGCATACCAAAAAGAAGGGGCCAAAACTGAACCACACTGCTGCAAAAGGTTAATTAATTCTAAAAATCATAGACTTCCTTCTAAGCAAGCCATGCCAGGGCAGGGATAGTACCATCTGTTGTAGGGAGCTTTTAAAGAATGCCAGCATTAACGTGATTATGGCCTGGTGAGTACTTTGTCGTAACTGAATTTAGCCAACTGGGCCTCTCATGTCTGTTTAACGGCTCTCAACTTAGCTGTGTTGAAATGGACCAAGGGATTATTGTCTCTAGCTACTATACCTTTACTTCCCTCTGGAATAGCTGACACTTCACAGGTTGGCGTTTAATCCCACACCACTCCAGGGACTAAAAAATATCTTCCATGCAGGCCAAATTAGCTGCAAATCCAGAGAAAATAATTACATCATACACACATGCAGGGCCACTAACTCATCAATGCCAAATGGCATAATAAATGCAGTCTTTTCACAATTACACTCATCCACTTTAACCTGCCACAGGAACAGGAACTGCTGCATTTGAGATGTTTGCCCTCTGGAACAACTGGCACACAAGGTGTTAAGACATCCCAATAAGCTTGAGCCTTGCCTTATACTGGAACTGGCAACTTGGCCCACACCAGTGCATGACTTTGAGCAGGAATGATTACTGAATAGTGCTTAAAGCTGTGCTGACTGTGTCCGTCTTCTCCAGCTTATACACAGCTGATTGGCAGCAATCAATAATGATGTTCTCTTACGCCCTACTCAGGGAGGTGGCTGGTGACTGTGATGTCAAAGCCGTTTAATTATCCTGAAAGCAGAAATTTGATTATCAGCAAGCAGAAATTACATTCTTCATGGTTAGAACCAAAGCAGCTGTCCTTAACAATGGCCACCCCAACAGCTCGTACTTTTATACCCCTACATGAAAATCTGCCATGATATACCCTACATAGTGGATATCATATCCATTGCCAGGGCATCTCTTCAGCCCTTCCTGGCTATTTATCATGGAGCAGTTCCATACAAATGCTATCCACAAATATTCTTCAGAACCAGTATCTATTAAACATTTAATGTGCACATTATCTACTTTTATATCCACCAGTGGGCATAGCCCAGCAATGGTGGCTCTAGAATAAATAACAGGGTCTCTCAGGGGAACCATGAACACTCGACACACAGCGACTGAGCGCTTCTTGGTGGACAGTGTTTACTAATATGTCCTGTTTCATCATCCAAGTTATAAATCAGCTTTATTGCCTCCTCATACTTAGGAGCCCACAAGCAATATAGGAAATAGTAATAGTGCACTTGCCAAGTATCAGAAGGAAATGTGGTTGCTCAAGTTTAGTGAATTCTTTCTGAAACATACAAGAATATAACACACATAAAGGTAAACAAACAGAGTAAACAGAAAATGTGCTCCTATACAGAATAGATGAAGCTAAATCAGAACCTGCTATGACCCATGCTGAACCATGCTGAATCATATACACTTTAAAGTCTGAGAAACTTTGAGACATTGTGCTAAAAGTCACCAAACATGGCCCCCCAGTTGCAAAAAACAAGGAGCAGTCAGCCAGTGAGACCATATCCTATTATGTAGTATTCCCTGACACCCCTGTCTTCAGTAACTGGAGCCAGGCCAGGACCTGAGGCAGCAAAGCAGCCCCAGACCATAACATTTCCACCATCATGCTTTACAGTTGAGATGAGGTTCTTCTGATCCATTGCTTTTTTGCCAAACATGGCTTGTCAATCTGTACCCAGACAACTCTATCTTTGGCCCCTCTTTCCATAGCACATTGTTCTAGAGGTCGTGGTCCTTGTCTAGATATTCATTATCAACTTTTCTTACCCTGATGTTCTTTTTATACAGCAAAGCCTTCCCCCAGGGCATCTGCCATGTAGGTTAAATTTGTGCAGTCTTTCTCTAATAGTAGATTCATGTGCTTTAACGTAGCAAGAGCTACTTGTAGGTCATGAGATGAAATTTTGGGTTTCTTAAAGACTTCATTTAGCATCTTATACCCCTTCCCAGACTCATAGGCATCCACAACTTTCTTTCTGACGGCATGAAAGAGCTCTTTTGATCTAAGCATGATGGTACCACACAGTCCAATAACAAAGAACAATATCTGAGGTTTAAATAAGACAGGTTCCTCCAAGATATTCTCTAACAGTGTTCTAATTATGAGTACCTGATCAGGTGCACCTGGTTTCAATTTGACATATTTGAGGCAGTGATATATGTAGAGGTGTACTTGATTTCTTCACATAAGAAAATTGCATGATTGTTTATTTCATTTGTATAAAGCTTGACAAAAAAAGTCAAGTTTCACCTGTTAAGACTTGATATCTATATAAATATGTTGATACATATATAAATGTGTTGATATATGGTATGTCCTTTTTAGATTGCTGTATAAGTAATGTGTCTATGGAACCTTTGTGTAAAAACATACTTCTTACAAAAGAAAACATACTTTTACTGTACAACCCAAAGAGAACTGTTGATTTTTTTTTTTTTCTGAATGGTGTATAGGTAGGCTGAACAATATAAACAACAACAACAACAACAAGAAGAACAACAAAAAAAAAACAAACAAAAAAAAACGGCACAATGTGTTTATTTGACATGCCAAGCTTTGCAACTGACAAAGAAAATACAGCCAAAAAAAAAATAAAATAAATAAATAAAATAAAACATTTTCCTCTGACCAATCTTATGTGAAACATTATTATATCTATATAGATGTATACGCATAAGTAAATGTATATGTATGTAACTAATACATCAGTCTTTTATAAATACAGAGTGGCATTACACACTTGGTATTATGCCCATGTAATGACAACAAAGTCAAAGTCAATTTTTAAATTCAATTAAATTCAAATTAAAAAAATCAAAAATTCAAATGAAAAATTCTAATTAAATTCAAATAAAAGTTTCAGCAAAACTCTATGAAACATGTTATTACTCGCTCTGCTGAACTGAACATAAATAAAGCCAAATAATAACAAGTTAAGCTCTGAGACTTAAGCATTGAATTCCTATTAAAAATTACAGCCCCAAATTTACATGATGTAACATGTAAACAAAACAAAACATTTCTATCATTCTACTATGTTCAATAATAAACTACGTCATACACTGACACACATTTTATGTACTTATTTTATTCTATTTTTCCAGTCGTACTTGAGATAAATAAAATTAAATGTAATTTTTTTACCCTGCAACTACAAATTCTAATGTACAGAATTCTGTCAAACATTTACATTAAATAGTTCTTTACAATATTTCCTTACATATGATTCAGAAGCGCAATATAACAGACAACTATGATGCTTCTGTTTGTTTGTTTTTCATGATTCATGCAAAATATACATTCAAAGAGTTCAGCTTCTGCCCTATTTTATGACTTTACATTTACAGCATTTAGCAGTTACCCCTATACAATGCTTTCCTATGTAGATGGAAAAAGTATCCTTATTCTAATGTAAATAGGCCACAGATATCCTTAAGCTAAAGCAATGCAAGAAACTAACATCAGGGCTGACACATAAATATAAAGACATTCAATATAGAAACAGATTACAGGGTGTTATTCCACAGTTTTTATCCAGTCTTCACTACAGAAGCATCTACAATATTGTTCTTTTTACTTTGAGTGTTATGTGTAAATTTTGCCCTTTTGGCCTGTCTTAGGTGCCTCATATTCCTCTACCTATTAGCCAGTTTAGACAAGTCTATTGGGCCAAAGCAAAGCCCAGCTGAAAATCTTTTACTCTTTTAGCAACATTATCAGCCAATTCAACCAAACATAACTTAAATCATAAGTGTTGCAGAAAAGAACATAAACTCCTAAGTAT